TAAAAAAAAAGATAATCTAACTAGTCTAATTAGTTTACCTGTTTAGAATTAAAGTGACTTTATTTCATTGTTTATATTTAGAAGCCCAAGGTCAATCCTTTGTTTATTTCTTACTAAATAGAAATTTCAAGCATTGATATCTATGACTAACCTCAAGTTACATTATCCATATTCATTTTTTTTGAAAAAAAAAAGTATATATAGCTTTTTGCCTAGCAATTACAACCTTTGAAATACTATTTTAGTTTGATAAATTTTATGTGATTAGTAAGACTTATTTCATCTTAATAAAACTTTTGAAAATTGTTATGTATAGTAGCTGTTAATATTTAAAGAATCCAAATTCAAGAAAAATAATTCTAAGAACTACAGAAACTATTCCTAGTTCTTTACCATCTTTATCATATTTATGTGAATTAGATAATCTTTGATCTAAATAATTGTATAACAATTAGTAATATTTAAATGAAACATTAGAACTAACTAAATACTACCTTATCGATTATTAATATAGTGACAATTAGTTTTTTTTTAAAAATAACTATTTTTACTATTTTTTATATTCTGCTTTATCATCACTCCACTCTAGTGCAAAAACTTTTATTTTATTAATATTTCTTTTCAGAAATAATATCTGACCTATCAAAGTTGGATCTAAACTTATTCTTTTTGTATTTATAAAGTTACCTGCATCTGAAAATAACCTTTTACTCGATACTGAAGTTGTGGTATTACCAAATACTTCTGTGCAATTTTAGCAAGCTTAAGAAATTTATACATATTTGTTTTCCACTAGTCTAAAGGATTTTCAGTTTCTAATGCTAATAGTAATGACAAATAATTTGAGATTTCATCAAGAACTTGTACATTTAGAACCTCCTTTTTTCTTTTTATTTGGTGCTGTTGAATATATTCTTTATATTAACGTGTTGAAGCTTCTATATTAGGTGGAGGTAATTTATTTGATTCAAATATTACTTCTTTCATCTCTCCAAATTCATTATGAAGCTTTTGAATAGTTTGTTCTTTTTCAATATCATCATATAAAAAATCCAAGTTTTTATATTGAGTATCTAATAAAGTCGCTATCAAACTAAGTTCATTTAGAACATTCCAATAATATATTAGTGCATCATAAATATTTTTTTTGACTTCTTCTAAAATACCTGCAAAGTTATAAAATTAGTGATTTTTATACTATTTATATAGGTTTGAGTAATTTATTTTCATGTAATATTTAATTAAAGATTATATAATACTCCTAAGAAAAACATATTATTAGCTTTTAAATTTGAAACCTCTGATAACAGGTTTTTCTTTGCAGCACCTTATTATTTAACTATCATAATGAAGTTATAATACAAATATTTAAATTATAAAATAAGAACTAGCCAAACTTTATAATATTTACTTTTAATTAAAAATTACATGAAATTCATTTTACTAAAACTTATAAAATTTATTAATAAGAATATAATTTTTTGAAATGACTTCAAATACCTATTATATTTAATAGATTTTTAATAGAAATTCTCTTTTTGGTAATATTGCTTATGATTTTATCATTATCTAAATCAATGTATTGTATTTCTGTAGCATCTGATTCAAATATGGTATCTTCATCAGAAAACAACTCATTATTTGATAGTGTTTCGCTTGCTAGATCAAAAATTATTTCTTTAATTTTTGAGATTATTCAACTTAATGTAACATACATATTTCCAGAAAATTCCTGTGTTATCTTCTCAAATGGTATTAATAAATCAATAAGTTGGTTAATTAACTTCTATTCATCATCAGAAAGAAGAATTCTCCTTAATTTGATACCATCTTTTTTGATTTCTCGATCAACTGATATATATAAATCAGTTTGAAGTTGAGTAATTGCATATTTAAAAAATAAAGACGATCCTAAGCATAATAAGTTAAGTTCCAATATGTGAATACATCTTGAATACAACCTAAAATATTAGTATAACCAAGTCTTTTTTGAACTTCTTTTAGTTGTTCTAGTTGTTTCTAACTTTGAAAAAAATAAATTATTCGTTTTACATGTGCTACTAAGATTTCTGCTAGAGCCAACTCTTTTCCAATTGCTAATTAGATAGTATGAGCTGTGCATAGAAGATGCTTAATCTTTTCATATCTATTGCTTTGATTTAACAAAGAAAAAGCTGATACTATGTTAGGACCATTATCAGTAGTAATTGATGTTATATGATTTTTAAAATCCTAAGATTCAATAAATTTACTAAGTTCATTTGCAATAACTTTATTAGTATGTGGAGAAGGAATATATTTATTTTCTAACATCACATCATTTATTTCAAAATTTGACATAATCCAAGTCATGGTAATTTCTAAGTACCCATATTCTGCTCTGCTGGACCAAAAATCTATTGTGAAAGAAATATTGTCTGCTAGTTTTATAAGGTTTTGTAAATTTTCATAATTGTACTTAAAACTTTTAACAATTATTGTTCTAATTTTTTTTTCACCTAGAACAACAAATGAGGGATCGAATTCAGCCATTTTTTTTTTGTATATATTATCAGTAACTGTGGAGAGAGGCTGATTTGTAAGTATTATCCATTTAAGAACTGCTTCTTCTCATCATTTTTGAATATGTTTGGGATGAGGATAAATTTTTCGAACAAAATCAGTAATTTTAGAATTGTGTATCTAGAATTAGTATTAGTATTAATAAAATATATATTCATAAAATATATATTCATTATATTTAATTCTATATAATTGTTATTTACCCTTTTCAGATCTGCTAAATCATTTGTTGAAACAATTCCATATTCATCTCTGAGATGCATGATTAGATTGCCTGTTGAACTTCTCACATTTATATACTCTTGCTTACATTTTTGTTTACTTTCATCTATAACCTTGCAAACTCGTATTTCTTCACTCATATCATTGGTAATTTTGTCAAAGTATTCTCAAGTAAATGATAGTTTTTTACATTTATATAGTCTCTTAGTTTTGAAGCTATTAGACTCTTTGTCTAAAAATTAAAAACTACTAATTAGATATGTTTAAACTTCTAGCTTATTGCTATAATTTAATACCTTTTCTTTTAATTTCTAAGACTGTTTGTGTGCTAGATAGTGTTTTAGTAGTTGCTGATAAATGAGGTGAGATTCTTGAACTTTCAGATAGAATATCTTGTTCCCAATCAACATGCATAGTTTCAAAGTCACTATTATGATAATATTCTAAATTATCATCTGCTATTGTTTTATAAATTTTCTTCGTAATCTATACCTGATACTTAAAAACTAATCTATTAATTTTCAAACAATTCTCTAACAAGTGCTTATAAATCAGCTACTTATTATGTTATTTTTTACAAATTAATCTATCTATAAAATTCTATTTAACTTGACAAAACTAATCAAAATCGATACTCTGCTAACCTTGATCTTTTTTCTAACCTTAGAAACTTTAATTTCATAACTTCTGAATATTATATAATTCTTTTACAATTGCTTTTAAGCCAATTATCTTTCCAAAAAAAAAACTATATATATAAGAAAATAAATTAAAAGTGACAAACAAATTTGTTCATCACTACTATTATATAATGTAAAACCTTAATCTGTAATTTATAAATGTCAGCAGCTGGTATATAACTTTTATCTAACAATACTTCTAGTGTGATGTAGAGCATAACTTCAATAATGTTTTCAGTTTAGTTTAGGCATGTTCAATTTTTTTCAGATAATCTAAGAACTAAAATGTATATTCTATTCTGCTTATTTAATCTAAAAATTCAATATCCTAATATATATATGCGTAAGTTAACAAATGAGTTTATACTACAGATTGTTTATATCATTTGGCTTATTTACAACTACAACAAAGGTATACTTTTTTTTATTTTTTTTTATAGTTTTACTTCATGGCTTTATTAATAGCACTTTTTTTTAATCACCAATGCTTTACTTAAACCTCTCACTAATTACATAGCACTGACATATATATGTACTGTGTTTGCTTTATATTTCACAGGTTGAAATCAAATATATCGGACAAGCTATCTGCTATCTGATATTCATATAATACAAAATGATAATTTAACAAAATATCAGCATAAAAGATAGTTCATTGATATTTTGCTAATATTCGACAAATAGATTTTGGTTAAATATCAGACAAGATATCTGCTGTCTGATAGTTCTATAATATACAATAATAATTTAACAAAATATCATTATGATTTCAGTTAAATATCAGACAAGATATCTGCTGTCTGATAGTCCTATAATACACAATGACAATTTAACAAAATATCATCACGATTTCAGTTAAATATCAGACAAGATATCTGCTGTTCGATAGTCCTATAATACATAATAACAATAATAATTTAACAAAATTTCAGTTAAATATCAGAAAAGAAAATATCTTGTAGAAATTAAATTGATATCTTTATATATCGATATATGGCAGTTATACAAGTTATAGCTACGGCTTATTAATTATCTGAATAGTATACATCAATTGTAATGTTAATTTAAATATATATGCAATAAATATATACTAGGTATATATCTATGTATAAATATAGATTATCTCATATATGTACAACCATTATAGATTATATTTTCTATTTAACAAAATCACTGACATATACTTCTAAGATTTTCTCAATCCAACCATAAAAGTACCAGCAACAAATTTTCCCAGTATGTTATACACAGAAATTATACAATCATGATCTAAATCATAAAAATCATTATTCTATAATTCCACGTTACAAAGTTTATCATCATTTTTGCTGATACTAAGTTGATATCTTAATTTTTCTTCTATTTTTTTGTACTAGCAAACATATGTGAGATTATGCTTCATTGATTCTTCTAGATAGTCAACATAATGCTCAAAAAAGAACTGAACCTGACTCAAATATATGATTACATCTCTATCTTCAGCAAACTTTACAAGAATTCTTGAAGAATTTTTATGCCATTTAGAAAAGGTAGACCTGAAAACTTCATCACTTATTCTTACTCTTCCATATTGATTTATTATAGGCGATATACCTATCAACCCATCTAATTCTAAATCTTCAGGTAGAATAAATATATTCATCTCATAAGTATTATTATAGTATTTGGTAAGTAATTTCATAAAATCTTAGGAGATGTATATATTTATTCTCTTTGGTATAAGGAAGATTCCAGGAAATGAATTTAATCTAGTGCCAATATCAACTCCCTCTTCTACTGATCTTGACATAGAAATAAAATTTATTGCATCTTCATTAGATATTTCGTAATCACCCAAACTTCTGAAAGATTGTCTTGGAGCTAGAATAGACAAAGCTTCAGATAAATTAGTATTATTACAATCACTAATTAATCTATTGATTTGTCTATTTTTTTGGATAATATTCATAAGTTCTAGCTCAATTTTTCTATTACTGTTTTTGTAGCTTCTTATAAGATATAATTAATATTATTAAGAATATGGAGATATCGACTAAATTATTAAGTTTTTTTTTTTTT